GCCCTACTTAATATTTTACAAAGTCAAATCTACCCCACTGTGGGGCACATTTGTCAAAATACACCCTATTGCCTAATTCAGTATAATCTTGTTTAATTAAGAAATTAAGATATGTTTTCAACCTTCTTAAATTTTTAAACCTTTTAAATGTCTATTCCAAAACTTTTAAGAAAAAAAAAAAAATTGTCATTTCTGGTGGGTAGAGAATTTTTCATGTCAAATCTGCCACGCCTTCCCCTACTATTGAATCAGCACACTTAATTCACTCTCTATTTATACTTTTTGGATTCTACTTTTTTACTTTTTACTTTCATTAATTGACGTTATATCCTTAAAAATTTTTAAACTGTTTGTGCTTGTAAAAACTATTTTGTGTTGTTTAGTTAATAATTGTCTTACATGTGTTTTAATTAATTTATTCAAACAGACATCTCGCGGTTTAACCTAACCTAAAATATTTAAAAAAAAAAATACTATTGTATTACATATGACTTTTTTAACTCGTTTTGTTAAACTTTATGTAGCGCTTCCTTTATGGAAATAGTCAAGGTGTGCCTGATGATGAAGTGACAGCTTCGAAACCGGTCGCCAATTAAATTGACTTGTGAGAAATAAAGGACCTTTTCTTTAACCCCTTACACTTAATCCCTACTACTCACATTTGGCTACCCTCACTCCAAATTTTTGGATTCTATTTGGGAATAATTTCTAAATAAATTGTACCATACTACTAATACCATAATTGCTCATTTTGATTAATATGTCGGAGTGAGGCACACGAATTGCTAGTAGATTTGCATCAAGGATACGTTTGAAGTTAATTTTTGTTCACTTTATGAAGCAACATTTAGTGAGAAATTCCGTGAAGTTAAAGTATGATTTGGTGCTGTTCGTTTATTAGATAGAAGACGTAAAGAGCAGCTTAGATCATTGGAGATAAAAATTAAAAGTACAAGGTCTGAAAATTAGTAGATAGGGATAAGAGAAAAGTACATATTTAGAATGCAGTTTTGATAATAATCAGAGATAGTTTCCAGTACTCAATTTGGCCAAAATTTTAAGCTCCATTCGAAATTCGTTTTAGAAAATGGAATTAAGATATCGTAGAACACTAACACAACAAATATTTATGTATTAACAGAAAAACTTTATTAAACATTTGGCAACAAGAAATGAAAGCACTTCAAATAGAGACAGGGTCTAAAGAGGTCCAGAGCTGTTTAGAGTGCAGCAGGTTGTATATATTGAAAAACAAGAAGTCAAGCAGAGAAGAAAGGCGAAAAATGAACAAGAAATTTTATAAATGTCTGTCTAGAGTCTTAATGTGTAGGTGTCAATCGTTGAACTTGACTAAAGGAGATTTTTTCTTGGTGAGAAGCGTCTGTTGGATAGTATTTTCCATAACAATGTATATAATTTTATTAGGGACAGTGGTAAAAGGACGAAGTGAGACATGCTGATTGAAATATATTCAGAAAAGAGGAGAAGTGATATATGAAAATCTAAATTTATAATATTTTTAAACGTTTTAACGATTTCAAAATATTGTTCCAATATTTTAATTTTTTTTCGTAAGCAGCACGTTATATTTGGATATCCATTATTCTAATCTTTGTAAATTAGTACAGCTTGGAAAATTTTCATAACCACAACCTTGATGATGACGTACTGGTAAATATGCATTCCCGTGTTTTGGTATTGTCTGATTTTACGAAATTCATTTCATAAAAAAAGTATTTCGCTAAAAGTTAATAGAACAGGTAAATAAGTTTAATAAACAGATGATAATAGCATGTTATACATAAAAACTAGCAATTTATTGATTAATTGTATGTTTATTATCTAAAATAATAATGTGAATATTTTATAGTCCAAGAGCCCACTGCAAATTTTGGTCGTCATCTGATAACGAAATGAAATAATAAAAGCATTAAAAATATTGTACTTTATCAAACGTGACACGTGCCAATCACTATCCTGAGCAAAGTAGGTAAAAAATTATTTTATATCCAATAAATAATATAATACATAACAGCCATAATTAAGTAACATTCAAATATTTCTTGAGTACATCGTTAAAGGGAAATACTCTCTTCCTCTTAACATTGCACCAAAAACAGATATCTATGACTAATAGGTAAAATCCAAGGTCAAAACGTACCCGTATTTTGGAAAACACCTAAAAAAATCATGTGATTTCGGTGATTTTGCTAAAAATCTCCCTTAATATTATAGGATGACCTTTCTTTGGGCTCTGTTGATACACAAGCTGCTGTATTTACATTTTTGAGCACTTCGAAATCAATCAATTTGAATTTAGTGATGATTTCGACAATGATTTTCGATGATAATTTTAAGAAAAATTGTAGTGATTTCGATAATTTCGAGTGAAAAAATATTTCGGAAGTGGTTGACCCCTCGGTTAAAACCATTAAAAAAGATGAATCAATGTTTGCTGATTTGAAGATCTATTTGTATACTTATTGTTTCATTTTTACAGGTTGTCATAGAAACGTCAAAGAACTACTATGATTATTGTTTAAAAGAATTAACTAACAAGAGTTTATACTTATTAATTGACTATTTGTGCGAATGGTTTATCCAATGCCATTCTCCTTCCTTTCACACACACATGGTTTAAAAGATGGGAAAAATATTAATAATTCCCATTTAAAATGTAGGTTTACTATAAATTAGGATTTTAATTTTCATGAAAAAAAAAAAAAAAAAAAAAATATCGATGTCATGTCTTATGTACCTTTTTGAATATAAAATAATTTTTTAAGCACTTTCAGGATAGTGATTGACACAGGTGCCGTTTGGTAAAGTATAATGTTGTTACATTCTTTAGGAGCATATTTCATTTGGCCGAAATTTGCAGTGGGCTCTCCTAATATTACTTAAATTTGGGTTAATAACAAATAAATATGTAGACCTTAGGTTCTTTTTTAGCATTGATAGTAAATTTATCTATTGAGTAATTTATTTTCGAAAAAGGGTAGGTAAAACGGAAGTCAGAGAAACAAGTTAGATAAGGAGAGAAAACCCTAGGGAAGAAGGAGACAAATGACTAGAGAAGAAGAAAAAATAACTTAAGAAGATGGAAAACATACTGGGGAATAAAGAGAAAACTAAGTCAAGCGAATTACACCAAAAACAAAAAGCGTTGAATAACAAACTTATGAAAACAGAATAGATTAAGCGCTTACCGTCATTTGAACGGAAGAATAGTACTAATTGGAATTACAGTGAAACTTCTGTTAACGGACACTTCTCTACAACAAAAACCTTTTTTGAACGGACAGTTTTAGGTCACCGAACATTTCATATGTGGGTAAATAGGCGAAGACACCCCCGAAGAATGAACCCTCTTCATGACGAGTCCGGACAAAATTTACCTCATTTTTTTTATAAAATTTTTCTAATTTTACCTGCCAACAACGGACAATAAAGGCGAATAAAATTGGGGCTCGGAAACTAGGGAATTCCAAATAACTTATTGTAGCCGTAAAATAAGTAGGTAGGAACTTATAGTCATAAAAATAGAAAATTGAGTACTTCGAGTTTGATTTGAAGAAACCCATTTTAGAATTTATTCGTCCTTTGTACACATTCCCAATTGAGTTGCGATATTCTGATCTAAGTGTAACAATGTTGTCTTCAACTAAGAGAAAGTTTTTAAGTTTGGAAGATTAAGGCATAAAGTTTTAAATAGGAAACACTCAAGTTAATGACATTTTAAAGGAAAAGGTCGACTTAAAAAATTGTATAGTAAGAAGAACATTCCATTATCTGGATAAAGAAAAAGCTTTAGAGGCGGCGAAATAACTTAATTTGAATTTTAAACCTTCCAATGGTTGACTCGACAAGTTTTCCTCAAGACATAGTATTAAATTTAGAGCAATATCTGGAAAAGCTACAAATGTTAACCTTGACGACGTTTCAGTGTGGCAAAGAAAACTGCCAACTTCATTAAGTGACTATTTACTTTAAGATATTTATAATTCTGACGAGACCGATCTTTATTATCGAGCCTTACCAAGTAATACTTTTACATTTTTTAATGAAAAGTGCACTGGGGGTAAATCTGCTAAGGAAATACTAACAGTATTATTGTGTGCAAATCTAAATATTGATCAACTCCAAGTCGACTGGTACTACAACAAGAATGACCAAAGATATAATGACAGATTGGCTGCACAAATTTGACAAAAAAATGCAACGTTAAAAAAGAAAAATTATTTTGTTCCTAGACAACGCAACACCCCATCCTAATATTCAGCAATCCAACATATCGATAATATTTTTTCCACCTAATACTACATTGTCAACCGTTAGACCAAGGAATTATCAAAAACTTTAAATTCCTGTATAGAAAGTTTTTGATGAGAAGAATGTTATCATCTGTAGAATATTCTTTATCAACGACTGAATTGGAGAAGTCCATAACGATTGCTAACGCCTTAATTTGGATAATGGCAGCATGAAAAAACGTTTTAACCAAAACAATTAAAAAGTGTTTCATTATTTGCGGTTTATTAACAAAAGATAGTAATGGAGAAGAAATTATGGAAAATCTGGAGCTACAGGACTTGGAATATAATTTTATTTTTTTGACAAAGCAGTTGTTCGCGGGCCGCATAAAATTATCTCGCGGGCCGCAAATGGTCTCATTTCTCAAAAATTCAACATTCCAATTTGAATTTCACCTGGTAAAAAGCAGACAACCAGTATAAAAATATATTTATTGTTTAAAAATTTGGAAATGTGTTTATTTTCTTTATACAGAAATTAAAAAGTTATTTTTAATAAATTGTATTATTAAACATAGGTACTCAATTTATATTTATTTACTTTTTTAAATAATCTTTGTTTTTTGCAACATATTTATAACTACGTTTTTGTAGTCAGTATTTTAGTCGTATTATTTTAATTGTTGTTATAAATGTAAATAAATAAATAATTATTATTTATGCCGTTAAAATTGTTCTAATACTTACGTAGAACTGAAATTATCCACTGTAAATGTCGAAGGAAAATTATCTCTTTTTTGATCCATCGTCACACCTGTAATAAAATAATATTATTACTATTAAATTCAACAAAAATAAACGAAAAAATTGTCAGAATTAACATACGACAGATTTGGATAAACAAATTAAAGTATATTTGATAACGATGGCGTCAATCATATTAATATTTTTTCTATTTTAATTCTATTATTTTCAACACTGCAGTGTTGCCAGGTATACCATTTTTATGATATTTATACCACTTTTTTACTAAGATACCTGCAAGTTTTGAGGATACCAATTTACTACCATAATAATGCATACAAGTAAAACATAGCACTCAGCATATCTCTACTCTACTCTAACAAGTAACAAGAATGGTCACATCTCTGCTAAAACACTTCATAAGTGATCATATTCATACGATCACATATCCTATCTTTTTTCAATACGAAATCATGATACACATCGTGATTCCCAAGATCCCAAGCAAAGAATTTTGTTAAAATACTGTTAGACAGAAAAATATTGAATTTATTCCAACCTATACGTCCTCACTGTATAATACACACAACCAAACTTATATGGAATCACTGTGTATTTCTGAATAAACTTTTTGTAAGAAAAAATTTTGGTATCCAACTTTAAGATAAGGCTTTTTGTTCTAAACAAACATGCTAATAAAAAAGATACGACTGCTGCGAATTATTATCTGGTGAATTATGTGTTCAGAAGTAAAATCACGATCCTCCGGTAATTTTATTTAGGTCCAAAAAAACAACAAAATACCTTATGTTGGACTTACAGATGTGCAGAGGGGAAAAATATTTGCTCTCATTGAACAAGGAATGCCCCAATGAGACGTAGCAGAGGTAGTAGGCGATACCTAGGGTGTTGTATCGAAAATATATGAAAGGTACTTATAACTAGAAACTCTCAAGAACAGACCCAGACAAAGTCGGCAAAGAGTCACAACTGAACAACAAGACCGCTTTATTTCCAGATTGCTTGAAGAAATCCCAGTGTTTCTCATCTAGAGCTACAACGACAACTTTTGGAAGCTACAGGTGTAAACGTATCGGTTGAAACCCCAAGAAAAAGACTTCGTGACAAGGGTTGTACAGTAGGAGAGAGTTACGGGTCCCACCGTTATCTAGGCAAAATAAAATTGACCGTCTAAATTGGTGCCTTTAACACCAAAACTGGAAAATTGAGAATTGGCAAAATGTTCTTTTTTCGGATGAGACCAGAATTGGCCTAAGATCAGGTGACCATCGAATTCGGATTCTCAAGGCTCCAAGAAGATAAGCGAAACTCCACGCTGCCAGATCTGTTCCAAGATATCAAAGAGGAACTGTAATGTTCTGGGGAGGTATTATGCTGGAAGCAAAAAATCCATTGTCACCACTTTAACAAACTTTAACCGATCCGAAGTATGTTGATTTAGTGCTAGAACGAATCGTTAGGCATTGGACAGCTGCAATTGGGGCTAATTTTATCTTTATGCACGATAATATACCTCCCCATGCCAGCAGAGTGGCTACATAATATCTTGAAACGGAAGGTGTTACAGTTTTAGACTGGCCTGCATGTTCACCAGACCTAAATCCTATCGAACACTTGTGGGACCATCTTAAAAGAAGGGTTAGAGCTCGTCGAAATAGTGCAAGAAATGTCGCACAGCTTATTGATGCAGCATTAGCAGAATGGGAAAACATACTCCAAGATAATGTTGACAAATTAATAAGAAACATGCTAGAGCGAATAAAAGCTTGCATAAGGGCTAGACGTGGTAACACGGATTGTTTAAAATTACCAACTTTGTTTTTGTTTCTGCTTTTCGACTATTAAAAATTTAAAATTCATTTGGTTTCATAAACCAAAAAATACCATTGTGTTTATTTTGTCAACTAATTAATTATTTTTATTGCTATGTAGGTTATTTATCATTAAAAGTCTTTGGTAAGGACTGAGTTTTATTTATAAACAAAAAATGTTCATACATCTCAAAAATTATGAAAAACAATAGATGATTCCATATAAGTTAGGTTGTGATTTACCTATAGGTTATAGAGAGGTATAATAAATTACTAAAAGATTTGTAATTACAATTATATTAATACAAAGGGCACTGAGTATCAGAGTAACTGGCAAATTTGCTCAGTTCAGTAAGATTATGATGACCCTACTGTCTGTTCTTCTGTCCATACTTTGATTTTTTATTTCTCTGTTCTCTGTTCTTCCGCTCTTAATAATACATTGTTATTTAAATATTTTATGTAAAACTTCATTATTTGGCGTTATCAAGATTATTCATGATACCATTTTTTGTCAGTAAAATACAATTTTTTTTAGTGTCCATATTTTTTTTTTATCTTCCAACATTGTGATCCAGTACCTAAATAGCAGGAAAACTTAAAATATAATCATCATATTAAGCAACTCGTACGTCTGGACATATCGAAAAAAGTGACTGGCTCTGCCAATTACCGAATTCTTACCAGCTGGTATGCCGATATTTCGTAGGTAAACGTTTTATCGAGCCGTATGCAAGAATCTACAGGGTGTTTCCCAACAGTGGCGTTTCGAAATTCCCGACATTTTCTATTCAAGCAAAATTGCAACAATTTTATGTCAATGTTGATTTCGAGAAAAACATTCAACAATAGATTTAATAGAAAACATACAGGGTGGGGCAAAACAACGCGCCATTTCGTTACAAGGTGGTAGGCATGCTATCGGCAATATTTCATGCGTTTAGTACACGGGGGTTTATAGCATATGCGCATTTTGTCAACAAGTTACTGCGCATCGAAACTGGCGCATTCCGATCTACAATAACAATTATATTTAAAATATTAAGTAAAGAGAATAATTACAAAATTTCTCAATAAAAATGTAGTAGCATGCAAAAGTAATAGTTTCACATTTTCTTGTTTATCTATCATAAAATTGAAAAAATATGAATTAATTCAATTATTTGTACAATGTGAATCTGGCTTTGGATAACAAAGCCCAAATCTCGTTAACGCTCGAGTCGACTCGAAAGCCGAACGATACAAAAGACAATAACAAACAATATGGCTATCGATGTAAACCTTTAGAAGTTTTACTTTTATTTAATACAGTTTTAGGCATCATACATTTAGGAGTAATTTACTGTAAGTAAATTTATTTTGATACTTTAACATGTCCAGGGCTGCCGAGAGCTAGGTTGGGACTCGGGACAATTCTCCAGGTCGGGCACCCCGACAACTTTATTAAAAACATTAGGCAATATCACATTTCTAAAAAAAAACAGAGGTCTTCAAGCAAAAACTTCTCCTCCTCGTTAGTGAAATCTTAAAAAAAAGGTCCTCACCAGAGATGCCGGGTCCCCCTTATGCCGCTGCCGGGCCCCCACTTGAGCACGGGCCCCGGGAATTATTCCCGGCTACCCCTCCCTCTTGTCAGCCCTGAACATGTCTATGTCTTATAAATGCATTATATTTGATTGTAATAGTAAATTGTTCTGGCCCATTTACACTGTTTTAAAACAAACATTTTTATTTTATTGTCAACTGAAAAGAAGGATTATTATTCGTATTCGTAATTATGTTATCCCCAAATATTGAAATCCTTAACAAAGCTTTAATTCTGATGTTCATTTTGATAATAATTATTCTAGATATGCGAATTTAATTATTTGTATTAACCAAGCTTTTTAATATAAAGTATTCTCATTACATAAAGCAAGAAAATCTTAATTAGACCTTTATAATAGAAATTAGAAGCAGCAAATTAAAAATTAGTTTAATCGCTGCAAATGCAAAAGTAATGAGTCACATACAATCAAAATTATGAGTTTTAAGAAGTTTTTCGCTTTCAACGATTGTTTTTTTTTCTTCGTTTCAGGATTTATGGATGGAACTCTTGTTTTATTTCGCACGATTAATTAAAAATTCTGTTATTTAAAATAGTTGTTTATTCAGAAAATTTATATTATGTATATTGTTGTGACCAATAAAGATTCTATAAATAATATTTAGTTAATACAATTTTGTATTATTTATTTTACACCTCTAAAATTATTTAATATAAAATTTTACATAAATGCGTGTTAAAAAAATGCTATTGGAAATGTAAAATTCTTATATTTTGTCGAAGTAAATTCAAAAGCCCACCAATTTTCAAATTTAAATAGCATTACAGCTTTCTATATTACCGAGTGAGTATTAGTGGCACAAAACTATTCCATATGTCGCTGAAGGCCAAATTTCTGTGTGGAATCTGCAACTCTTAATTATCCTTCCTCCATGGTTTAGTAACAATAGAGCTGTAGGCCACTCAACAGCGCGTACGCTGTGAAGGCGGGATATTTAAAAATCATGTGATTTCTCGAAATGGGAACATCACTTGGCCTTCCCGTTTTCTAGGCCTCACAACGTGCGATTTTTTCTTGAGAAGTTACTTGAAGAGTAAAGTGTTCAAGATAACCCACCACAAATAATTCAGTCCTTGAAGAAACGGATTCGACAATAAGTTGACCAAATTCCCTCGCATTACTGTGGCACGTAATAAATAATTTTAGATCGCCATTGAAAGATTGTGTACGCCTGTACAGACGTCATCTTCCCGGTTTTTTAAAAAATAAAATCATTAATCATTAATTTTTTGTTCTTTAACAAAATAATTTATTTGTAAAACATGAATTTCTCTTTTTTATATTCTTTTTAAAATCACTCGTTATTCTGCCCCATCCTTTATATAAAGACAAAGTATTTATACTGGGGGAAGTCATGTGTGCGTTAAAGTACAAACCATTAACACAATTAACAATTAAACGTATAAAGTAACTACGTTTAATTTTAAACATATTTTTAAATAGAAAAATATAGAAAAAAATAATTGTTTCTACATTTTGTTTAGAAACATTTTAAATTGATAGTAAGTCTTTTGTACGGAATATTTTTTAGGTTGTATTTAACTCCATATCCAAGTTGTAATTTCCATACAAAGAAACAACTTTGTTTCTCAAAAATGTAAATTAAAATTGGGACCATATACAATATTAAACCGATATATACTTTGACTTCTTATTAAAGTAATATTAAAAAATATTCCGAGTTTCATAATTTCGGCAAGACAAAAGATCAAAATACAAGCAACTACCACTGAACTGAAGCTTATCGTGACAATAGGAAAAATATATGAGTTGAACTGGATCCATAGATAAATTAATATTAAAAGATAAACCGTTTAAATGCACGGCACTGGTAACAAGTGGTAGTTCCCAGCCATACTACTTGGAGCCACCGTCGCAAATAAGATGACAGCGATGTTGTCAGTTTCCATAAAGTTTCATGAGATTAGAGTTAATTCAAACGCATAAGCTGCACCTTATTTTGTTTTTGTCGTGCTCGATACCATCCATACAATGGCCATACTATTGCTGAGATATTTTAAAGAGAGGTTTGGCAACTGTGTTGATAACCTCGTTAAAAATAAAGAACGGAATGGCGGAAGACGAAATAGTCGAAAAATGCACAAAAACCGTCATAAAATAAAAGTTATTATGATGTTGTGGATATAATTATCCTTCGATAGGTAAGTTATTATTAGGTTAAGAAGATTGATAAGTGCTGATTTGATGAAATTAGTAAGTATTACCAATATAATTTAATAAGGTGTTAGATTTGTTTAAGGACTTTGTTTATCATTGTTTTCTTATAGCCTTAACGAAGTATAATTTCATTTTGGATCGATTTTCAATTCTTTTTTAATATACCTATTTGTAACAAAACATGTCTGGCCCTGGTAAAATTAAGTAATCTTTTTCAGCCCCTTAATTTAAATAAGTATTATTCTAATATTCAGCAGGCTGGTTATTCAAATAAAACCTTTTTTCATTATCCTTCCGATATTAAAATTCGTGAAAACTGTTTTAAGAATTTACTTTATCTTTAGATAATAAAATTCGCTATCTTTTTGAAGATCATTTTTGGCCAGATTCTTTTAGTAAAATTGCTTCAAAACATAAACGACTAATTGCAAATTCTATACCAATTTTATTAGCTAATAGTACCTACATCCAGTTCAACTATACTCAATACTCAACCCAAACAGTCAGATTTTAGAAAATGTTGAGGCTGAACATACACAGTAGCATAAGATAGATTTGCTAATCTGCAACGAAAAACAAGAAATTATTTGCAAACGTAAACTTAGTATTAGTGATAAACAATTTGAACAACCCTCTGTTAAAAATGAAAAGTAATTTTCAAACTCAAATTTGTTAGATCAACTAGAACAGATTAGTTAAAATATAATTCAAATCGACCATTGCACTATGAGAAAAACTGAAAGTTTTTTCTATAAACTAATTTTAGACAAATTAAAAATATTTTTTTTTATAAGAAAGGGCAACATTTTGATAAGAAAAATTGTTTAATAAGATGTAAGTATGTACACTTTTTTGTTTTTATAGGAAACCCCTGACACCTGCATCAAAATTTGGTACAGTTTTCCAAGAACGAGAGGAGAATACTATTAATTCCACTTACAGTTGTTATTTGTACATGTTCTGTATGTAATAAATGTTTAAATGCACCTTACTTTTATTAAATGATTAAACTATACGTATATACCTATTGTTTCAAATATTTTCATTTATATTTTTTGGAGTTTTATTACTTAAAAAACTAATATTTATGTTAAATACAGTATTTTAATGTAAATATTAGTTTTTTTAAAGTAATGAATGCCAAAAAATGTAAATAAATAATAAACGACATTTGAA